GAGAGAGAGAGAGAGAGAGAGAGAGAGAGAGAGAGAGAGAGAGAGAGAGAGAGAGAGAGAGAGAGAGAGAGAGAGAGAGAGACAAGGTGTTGATGCCCAATGCCAATGTAACCCTGCTGCTGCTGCTGCCCCACTCATTGCACAACTGGCTGTCGCCATGGTGGTGGTGGACGCCGTGGCCAGAGACCTTCATGGCCATGAATGTATTCACAAACATCCTTGCCGGCCTCAGCGGCCGCATCTGCAAAAAGCAGACGACTTTCAGCCATGGTGATTCTTACAGCAACATAGCAGAGACGTTTGGGTAGCAGCCGTTGGGCTTCGCCGCACCACTCTCTCCAAATGTGCAAAATTGGACTGATCTTCCTGCTAGAACATGGGCCATGGGCAGATGCACCCGCCACATTTTTGTCTTTTTCACATCTCGAGAATGGTGTGGCGAGGCCCTTCTGCAGAGAAGTTGGGCAGCACTCTTTCAACGGAGCACAAATGCTGACTGCCGGGTGGGCCTTTCAGACCGGCAACTACGCTACGGGTAGGCCCCTAGAGCTGCAGGCTGTTCAGCTATTCTGGTATTTGGCTTCCTGGCTCGTCCTCTTGGCAGGTCGGGGAAAGGCTCCACTCCTTTTTTTCTTTTTTCTTTTTTTTCACGTGGAGTCGGTTTTTTTTTTTGAAGTCCATGGTGTTGTAGAGGCCAGTCACCGAGTACGCTGTGATCACCTGGAGCAGTCGGCTGTGGGTGTCCTGGAATATGAGACCACCTCCCATCCCATCCTTACGTCAATACTCCTAGCGCACCCCCTATCCTACTATCCTACCTCAGTGTGACCGGCACTGAGGACCATTACCCCTACCAATGGGCAGGTAACTTGGACCAAACAGCAGTGATAGGCACCAGGGCTGATAGGTTGCCCAGCCCTGGTGGAAGGGGAACCGGACGAGCCTTGTCGAACAGGAACTTCGGACGTCAGGTCCAGACAATCTACTACAGGCCCCAAGAGACTCTGGGCCCCAGGATTCAGACAGGGTAGCACCCATTGAAGCAGTCTTACCGTCCTTCCCCTAGCTTACCCAAGGCCAGGCGGAACTCGGACTGGCCTGAGCGACTTATACCCCTACCCTTACCCAGGTTCTAAGCCTTATATATAGTCACTAAACAGTTCTATTCGAAGATCAGCAGGAACTCTGGTGGCCCATACCTGTCCCTACTGCGGATACTAGACCCCACCAGTGAGTAGACCCCCCCAGTCTGATAGTTGTGTAGTTCGCAATCTATGTGTGTGTAGGCTATGCATGCTCCGTGTATCTATGTATCCAGATGTACAGACAGCACCAGTGTGTATATGCAGCCCATAGGCCACGTATAATTCGCAAGCTCCAGATGTACAGACAGCACTATTGTGTATATGTAGCCCGTAGGCCATGTATAATTCTCAAGCTATGTACTACTGTGTATATGTAGCCCGTAGGCCATGTATAATTGGCAAGCTATGTACTACTCTGTATATGTAGCCCGTAGGCCATGTATATGCTATGTACTACTGTGTATATGTAGCCCGTAGGCCATGTATATGCTATGTACTACTGTGTATATGTAGCCCGTAGGCCATG